GGGATGGACATCAGGGATTGATATTCTAAATAGGTAGCAATCACCTTGAAGAGTCCTTGACCCAACCCCTTACAGGAAAAGCCCTTGACCTGTGTTCATGCCCGCTTGGTGCGTGACTTGCGTCCCCATTTGATCCCAAGTTAATCAATTTTACCTGAACAATTCTTATTGGCTGACCATAGTTTTGTCCATTTTTCCCCTACCTTGGACCCACCTCACCTCGTGGTTTTGTTCTATAAAACTCCCTAGAAAAGACAGTCTTGGGGTAACCCACTCAGGGCTCCCTTTTGTCCCTCTCTTGGACAGAAGCTTTCTTTCCCTCAATAAATATATTCTGCTCTTAACCTCCGTCCTTCCTAAAATTCATTCTTCAATTTTAGAGAACACGAACTTGTCCCATACATCATTCAGGTTGGGAGTTTTTATTTTCCTATATCAGTGGCACATATCTGTAAAGCCAGCACTCTGGAGGCTGAGGCAGGAAGATCGCTGAGTTCAGGGCCGGCCTGAACTGCATAGCAAAACTCTGAATCAAAAAGACAAAAAAAAAAAAAAAAAAAAAAAAAAAAAAAAAAAAAAATTCTTACTCATTCATCTGTTGATGGGCATATGGGCTGTTTTCAAGATTTAACTATCATAAATTTTGCTGCTATAAGCATGGGTATGCATATATCACTGTGGTATTGGTACAGCAAAATACAAACTCCCAACCTGAACCATATCTGAAATGAGTTCATGTTCTCTAAAATCGAAGAATGAATTTTAGAAACAACGGAGGTTAAGAGCAAAGTGTATTTATTGAGGGAAAGAAAGCTTCTGTCCGAGAGAGACAGAAGGGGGACCAAGCGGGTTGCCCAAGACTCTGTCCTTTTTTTTTTTTTTTTTTTGTCTTTTTGAGACGGTCTCCCCTATGCAGTTCAGGCTGAACTTGAGCTCACTGTGTAACCCAGGCTGGTCTCCAACTCGCAAGGATCCCCCTGCCTCACACTCCCAAGTGCTGGGATTACAGGCGTGCCCCACCACAGGTGACTCTGTCTTTTCTAGGAACTTTTATAGAGCAAAACCACGAGGTGAGGTGGGTCCAAGGTAGGGGAAAAATGGGAAATCGCAAGGTGGGCATGCCGTGGGACAAAACTGGTCAGCCTATAAGAATTGTCTGGGTAAAACTGATTAAATCAGGATCAAATGGGGAAGCAAGTCATGTACCAAGCGGGCATGAATACAGAACAGGGGCTTTTCAAGGTGATTGCTACCTATTTAGAATATCAATCCCTGATGTCCATCCCTAGGGAGGTATGTGCGTGCATTTGTTTAATCTTTTGTCTTGAGGTCTGGCCCACAGCAAATCCATATCTTGGCTTTCATGTTGGCTCCTTCAAGGGCCTGGCCCTGTCTGCCTATAATATTTCTATCTAACTCAGCTGCCTATAATACTAGGAAGAGAACAGCTGGGTCAAATCCTAGTTTTTTTTGGAATCTCCATATTGATTTCCACAATGGTTATACCAGTTCACATTCCCACAGCAAGAGGAGAGTTCATTTTTCCCATAGCCTGGCCAGCGTTGTTTTTTTGTTTTTTTTTCCAGCGCTTGTTATTGATTGATTTCTTGATGACAGCCATTCTTCCTGGAGTGAGATGGAATATCAGTGTTGTTTCAATTTGCATTTCTCGAATGACCAATGGCGTCGAGCACTTTTTTCATATATCTATTTGTTGTTTGTACTTCTTCATCTGAGAATTATCTATTCATCTTAGATGCCCATTTTTAAATCAAATTTTTAAATGCAGGGGGGCGGGGTTTTTTTGTTTTTTTGGGGGGGTGGGGTATGTATTCTAGATGTTAGTCCTTTGTCTGAGGAACAGCTGGCAAAATTTTTTCTCTTCCTGTGGGTCATCTCACTCCGTTGGTGGTTTCTTTTGCTGTGCACCAAATGCCTTAAGATTTTTTTCTCTTTGGATTCCACATACTGTCAGTTACTGAGGTTTTTTTTTAAAAAAAAAATTCCTAAATGTCTTAAGTTCATCTGGTGACTGGGCATGGTGGGAAACACTTGTAAACCCAGCACTCAGAGGCTGAGGCAGGATCGCTGTGAGTTCGAGGCCAGCCTGGGCTATATAAGGAGTTCAGGGTCGACCTGAACTGCAGAGCAAGATCCTGTCTCAAACCCTCCCCCAATAAATATTAAGTTCCTCTTGTCCCAAAATACTGTGGTGCAAGTTGTTGACATTTCTACAACCAACCGCATCTATCTAGCGTAAGTATATCCTTGATCTAGTATAGTTACAGAATTTAAACATTTTGGTTGTGTTTATTGCGTCACCATCCTCCTCTCCTGATGAACTCCAGCAGGGCAGGCCTTTCAAATCTTTGTTCACTGCTGTATTCCCTGCGCCCACAACACTGTCTGTTACACAGCAGGGGTTTAATAGAACACACAGCAAATTTCTGCTTGGTTTTTCAGATTTGGCTAGCCTGCTCCAGAAAGCCTCCCCTGACCACTTTCCAGTCTCCCACCGGATGAGATGCCCTGTCTTCCCCACGTCCTCACAGCACCCCGTTCAGCCCTTAGCGCGGGTGTGTTGTGATTGTGTCTTTCCAGGAGCCCGGAGAAGGGATCTGCATTATTCGTTTGCTCATGCAGAAGGGTCAGCCCTTGCTTGACCTGAAGAGATCAGTTCCTTCAAGTTTTTACTCAGATGTCACACAGCTGGGCTGGGGTAAGGAAGGCTGTCTACTATCTTCCAGTGAGATTTAGGCACTGCCAACAGCCCAGGGGTCGTATTTTTCGCCGTCTCTCCAGCGGTCACTTCCTCCTTGGTCAGCTTGGCATCAGTGCTGCGGGGGGCGAGTGCAGCGGGTCCACACTAGGCTCCCGGGAGACCCCGTAGGCCCAGCGCTCTGCTACCTTTTGTCCACCTGGTCCCAGCTCTTCGGCGCCCTCTTGCAAGAAACCTGAGAGTGTCAGCCCCGTGGAGGAGTCTTGCTGACTCCTCCCTGCCTGCCCGCTCCTGGAGAGGCGAGGAGGTAACCGCGCGTGAAAGGCCTGGTTCTAGACTGCACCTAGAAGCCGCACCAAATTTTAAAACGTAAATATTCATGCTTTGTATTACACGTAGAAAATATAAAATTAGGGGCCCTAAGCCAAAAGACATAACGAAGCCCCCCTCAAGCGGCTCTGCTTATAGGAAACGTCGAGGGGTTGAGGAAGCAAGCTCTGAGCGCCGGTAGCCCGGTAGGTAGGTGGCTGCCGGGTTAGGCGGTCCAGCGCCAGCGGGCTTGGCATCTGCTAAGCAAAGGACAGTGCAGGCCTGAGCAGGACTTGTGCTCTGATCTCTCATGGACTGGCAGCCTTTCTCAGTGGGACACCTACGAGTTCTGAGCGGAACTAACCTCCTTGCGCACCCTCATACAAAAACCATCGATCCTGAGGGTATTCGATTTTGCAACAAAACAGAACAAGGTCCTAGTCTGGAATGAATAAAGGCACCGCTGGGATTCGAACCCAGGATCTCCTGTTTACTAGACAGGCGCTTTAACCAACTAAGCCACGGCGCCAATGCTGTATGACCTTTTTTCTAGACAGCCCTACAGGAAAATAGGACTTGAAACCCGGTATCTAAAATAAATTAAGTGGGTTTTGCATCAGCCTGCTAACCCTGTAACCCTGAAATTTCCTACCGTTGAAGGAAATAAAACTTTCACAATTAGATTGATATACACGGTTGATAAAGTCGGGATTCTAGAGTTCTGAGACAAGGGGATTGGGCATAGGGCGATGGGGCTGCCTCTTGTCTTGAAGAATGGTATTATAGGGCATACATCGGAGAAGAAAAATACCACGTAGTCGGCAGGATTCGAACCTGCGCGGGGAGACCCCAATGGATTTCTAGTCCATCGCCTTAACCACTCGGCCACGACTACACGTATCTCTGTGTGGCTTTTATCCCATATCATTCTAAGGTCCCTTTCCCCATGACCCCTTTCATTCGCCAGCCTGTAAGCGCTACGCCAAAAGTCGGAAGCGACCTTTAGTTTGTACCCCGCCTTTCTAGAACTCTTTCCTGCTCTTCCCCATTCTTCCACCAGCGACCAGCAATAGCCGGGAAAGGAAAGTCGAGGCGGTGCTTTGATGCCTTGGGGAGCGCCAGCAAGTGAGGTTTGGAGAAGTGTATGTAATATTCTGTAATCAGAACGCTCCGGAGGAAAAAAAAACTTTCCTAGAGCAGGAATCACATAAAATAAAGACCTGTGGCCCGTACGGGGATCGAACCCGCGACCTTGGCGTTATTAGCACCACGCTCTAACCAACTGAGCTAACCGGCCAGCCACAGGAGCGAAGTTTCTCTTCTCTCTAGATAAAGTATTCATTCCTACAGGACGCTCACACACTCAAAAAGCCAAAGCTGGTGTAAGGCAGCTGCTTCCAAACACAAAATGAAACCGATCCGAAAGAGAAGAAACGCTTTCTAAGCGGCTTTGAGAGGTGTGACTTGGCTCTACGGCTCCATCTAGTGAGTAGCTCTCAGGAAAGAAACACAAACACAGAGAGCGGCACCTCCCTCTGCCCTGTTTCTGTGCGTTGTGATCCAGGCGGCCTGGTGTGCCTGTCTGCTGCTGGCCTGGTCTACTGACATCTGAGGCTCTGCCTCAGTGCCGGCCCGGGGAACCCGGCGCCGACCTTTCCACTGGGGTCCCACCCCAGCAGACCGGCGTGCTCCCACCCTCCTCCCAGCGCCGGCGCTCTCACACCCGCTTCCTCCTTGCCACCGCTCGGCTCTTACACTTCATCCCTGGACTAGCTCTGCCGACGGCGACCACCACGGCCTTATTTTCTTCTCTGACTCAGCTTACTCCCCGGGGGGCCTGACTGGCTCATTCCTCTGCTGGGCCAGCAGCTCTTCCCCAAACCGCTCTGCACTTTTGGCACAGAGGTAAACACACGGCTGAAACGATGGTGACTAGCCCAGGGCCGGGAACTGTGGTGCCCAGAGAGGAGCGTACAGAGAAACCGCCTCAGAGAGGTTTATTGGAGCCAAAGCGCCTGTGACCGGCACCGGCAAGAGGGGCAAGGTTTTGGGTCTGCTGGTGACTGGCACAAAGGCCGAATCCAGCTGCTTATTGCCACCTGTGAGTGTAGGTGACTTGACCCCAATCAGAGGAAGTATCAACTGCCATGATTTGTTGTTCCCACACCAGCTCCAGGAAGCCCGGCAGCAGAATACATTACAGTAGGGGAGCAGTTTGCCAACCAAAAGATATGGGGTCCAGGTTCAGCAACAGAAAGAGAGGTGCCACAACAAGAAGATGGAGCAGGAACCCAGGCCTCAAGGTTGCCAGGAAGGCAGGAAAAACTTCCAGGCCATCTTTGCAGTTCAGGTCAACAGGAGGCGGCAAAGGCCCCCAGGGAGCAGGGGTGCCCTGGCTCCTGGATAGAAAGGCAGGTCAGTCGGAGCCTGGGATTCACCCTTGTCAGGAGAGGGAGCTCTCCACACTGGAACCGCTGGAGCCGTGGAGGTTCTGGAATAGGAAGAGGAAACACATGCCCCACAAATGTAGTTTTTAGTCCTCATCACACTCATCATTCTCCTCCCCAAGTTCAGAAATTCCCTATCAATCCCTCATCTCACCTCCTCCCAGACACCCCTCCCATCTATGACCTACACTTACCTAATGGGGCAATATTACAGGGCTTCCTTTCAAGCTCAAACGCAAGCACAATAGGACGGAGGACAGAGGGGCCAGTACAGAGTGTCCTGAGGAAGAGTGTCAAGGGCTCACTCATCTTGGCTGAAGACTAGAAAGGGAAACGGAATTAATCAGAACCCAGGCTCCCAAATTTGTCAAACCCTGGAACCTGGGTAATTGAGCCCCCCTCTTGGTCACACCTCACCTCCAGCTGGGCTCCAGGCCATGTAAACTGCAAGGCTACTCTCCCTGGCCCTCGGGCCAGCTCTAGGAGGGAGGTCCACTCACTGGGACACAGCCCGAGTGCTTCTCCCACATGCTGATTCTTACAGGTCACCACGGCTTCAGCAGTCCCATCCTCTACCAGAAGCCTAGGAAAGAGAAAGGAGGCAAAACTTCCCACAGCAAGCCCAGGTTGCCACTCCCCTGAACCCAACATGCTTCCCTCCCAGCATTCCAGTCACTTAACCCTCGATCATTCAAAAAGCATTTTATTAAGCAATTCCAAGGAGCCAGGAACTGTGCTAACACAGACAAATGAAGCCTGTCTAAGGAGGAGGGAGACAGTGGATGGGTGCCCACCTGATGCTGGCCTGGCTTACTGACGTCTGAGTGGGGCAGGCGGGACCCTGACGAGTGCACCTTCCCTGGGATGAAAAAGGTGGCTGCAAAGTCTGATGGGTTCCATCACACCCCTCTGGCACGCCACACCCAGCTCCGCCTGGCCCTGTTCCTACCTGGGGACAGACACCGCTACAGTGAGCACACACCCACAGGAGCTGAAGGCTGAAGACAGAAACCACATGGCAAGACACAGTGGCCCGAAATGGAGCCTGTCCAGGGGCTCGTCCACCTCGCAGAAGCTCAGCCAGGTAGATGCGGGGCAGGGGAACACTAGGGAGAGACCGAGAGAGGCAGTGGTTAAGAAATAAGCAGAGGGCCGGGGCACTGGCACACTCATGTGTTCCCAGTGGCTTGGGAGGCTAAGGCAGGATGAGCACAGACTGAAGACCAGCCTGAGCAATTTAGCAAATAATCATCAGTTACCTCTCGGACATTAATGCCAGGATGCTAACCAAGAGATATTTGCTTTTTAGACTGAAAACCATTCAAAAGCCTAGAACATTAAATATTTCTGGGTGAAATGATAGGTATTGGGTAATTTTTATTTAGAGCAGAGGAAATCCTGACCAACACACTCTTCTGGGATTGGAGAAGCCTCTAGTTATGGCAAAAGCCCCAGAGCCGAGGACGTGAGTGAGTGAGACATGGGTGTGAGGCCCTGAAGTTTAGGGATCGGGGACTGGACACTGACCTGACTGTGGTTTCCGGGGGAAAACTCAGGACCTGCACGTAAGTGGATGACTGGAAACAACAGTAAACATTGTGGGACCTGTGAGCGGGCGAAGAACAGTAGTGAGGAAGAGAAAGCAGTCAGACTAGGCTAGCAGCCGTGCGCAAGAGATCAGGCTTGACGGGGTTGGCTACCCCGCACTCTAAGGACAGGCCTCGGGCCGAGGGAAGGACTGGTCTGCAACGTTTCAGCAGGGTAGAGGGCACATGTGGAAGTTAACATATTAAAAGCAAGCAAAGAAGCAGGTGTGATGTAATCCCAATATTCTCGGAGGCTGAAATAGGAGGACTGCAAGTGTGAGCTCAGCCTGGGCAATTTAGCAATTTAGTGAGATCCTGTCTCAAAATAAAAAAGGGCTGGGTAGGTAGCTCAGTGTGAAGGCCCCTGCTTCACTCAATGGTGCAAAAAAAAAAAAAAAAAAGAAAAGAAAAAGAAGAGAGCAAGCGAAGAGGTGCCACTGCAGCACAGTCGGGGGAGGGTGAGCACTCGAGAGCGGCCTGTCAGCAGGGAAAGGCGGCACGGCCACGTGACATGGATCTTCACCTGGAAACCCTCTTCTCCAGTTGGCTGAAGTGGACTTGGGCTCCTGGAAGGAGCCCTAGTGGGGCCGGCAAGTGTGGTTCTTCCATATATATGTCCAAGTGCGGGGGGAATTCACATTTAGCAGGCTCTAGCGCTACAGTTAGCTTCACACACCTTCTCGGGGCCCGAGTGTTCCCTGTAGGAGGGGAGGTGGCCAGTGGGATCTGTCAAGACCACACAGTCCCATCCCTTATATCACACCCACCCCAAAGGAGAGGTCATTACCAGGCTTTGTCCAGGAACGGCCCAGAAGTGGCTCACACACTGTCCGTGACAAAATCTCAGCTGAGAAAGACACTAAGGAATCGGTGAAACTGAAAAGTGGAATACACAGGGAAACCGGGCATAAGAACATAAGAATGGTGAGGATAAGGCTGAGGATGGAAACAGGAGCTATAGTATCTGCTACAATGACACATGTAAGGTCTTGAAACTGGACATGGTGGTGCACACCTGTAATCCTAGCACTTGGGAGGCTGAGGCAGGAGGACTGACCAAGAGTTTGAGGCCAGCCTGGGGTACATAGTGAATTTAAGACCAACCTGAACTACACAGCAAGACCCTGTCTCAAAAAACAAGAAGCTAGGCATTGTGGCGCACACCTGTAATCCTAGTACTTGGGAGGCTGAGGCAGGAGGATAGCTCTGAGTTCAAGACCAGCCTGGGCTACAAAGTGAGTTCAAGGACAGCCTGAACTGCATAGTGAAACCCTGTCTCAAAAAGACAAAAACAAAAACGAAAAAAGAAACAACAAAAAAAATCCTGGAAAACCTTGGGTTCCGCCAAACTGCTCACTAAGAGTAACAGAACATGAATTTCACGCCTGAAGCAGAATATTCAAAACCTGTACAATTTGAAAACAAAAAATAATGAAATCTATGCCACTTTGGAAGCAGAGGCCTTACCAGAGTATTTCCCTTCAGTCTATACTTGCATTTGTACCTACAGTCTCTATCAAGAGACTTAGTTTATGACTTGAGCTCAGCCCCTCATCCACTCAAGATACAGGTCTTCGGAAATATTGTTTTTTGGATAGTGTCCCACTATGTAGCTCAGACTTACCTGGAACTCCCAATCCTCCTGCCTCAGCCTCCTGAATGCTAGGATTATAAGTACAGCAGAAACATTTGCTTCTTTTCTTTTCTTTGATAAGAACAGATACTACACTTGATCTTAGCCAAAAGGCCTAGAAGCGATTTTGATTTTTTTTTTATGGTACTGGGAATTGAACTTATGACCTCAGGCTTGCCAGGCAAGCGCTTATGCCACTTAACTATATCCTCAGCTCTTCCCCCCACTTTTTTTTTTTTTGTTTTTTTGTTTTTTTGTTTTTTTCCGGTACTGGGAATCGACCTCGTGCTTGACAGGCAGGCGCTGTGCTGCTAAGTTAAATCCCCAGCCCCTCTTTTACTTGAGACAAGGTCTCACTACATACTTCAGGATGGCCTTGAACTCACTATGTAGCCCAGGCTGTCCTCAAACTTGCAGTGATCTTCCTGCCTCAGCTTCCCAAGTGCTGGGATTACAGGCATGTGCCACTGCATCCAGCTCAAAAAGCTTACGTGTGGGAATATTGCTCCTACAGCCATCATCCAGCCACTTGTACTAAACCAAGGCCCTTCTCTATATTCTCAGCTTTTTTCCCTATATTTTCTTGTTTTTCCTATTTTCTTTCATTGTTAAAGCTTTTCCTCAAGTGTGAGAATGCTCCCTTGTAGCCATTTGCAAACAGTCATGGGCTAGGGGAATAATATGAATCACAGCTTCCTTTTTACACTAACATTACAGTCATCCCTCACTATATTGAGGTTCACTTATTGTGGCTTCACTGTATCACAGGTTTTCTTAAAAAAAAAATCTAATTCTGTATCACAGAGTTTTTGCTATATTGTGTGATTCTGTGGTATATAGGTATTTATATAATATTTATGATTTTAATTATTTTTGCCTAAAAAATTTAAAACAATATAAAAAACATAAAAATGTTAATTCAAACATATTAAAAGGATATTAAATTGAAGTAAAATACAGTATGTATTCATTAGAATACTGTACTGTACACAATGGAAATGCAGTATGCCACTACCACTTGTGCAAGTTTGCCAATGTGAGATTGTACACAGCACATTATTGGTTGATGGAATGGAAGGCAACCAACCCCAGCATTGCGTTCTGTATCCTGGGTGCTGACTGGCTCAGAAAGGACGACTATAACATCTGTGTTTGCTCTCCCACACTGTGCCCATACATTCAGCGTCTCTCCTTGTCCACTTCACATCGAGTACCCACATGGAATTTTACATGTTGTTAAAACTACATAGGTTTAGCTGGACATGGTGGCACATGCCTGTAAGCCCAGAACTCAGGAGGCTGAGGCAGGAGGATCATTGCAAGTTCGAGTCCAGCATAGGCTACAAAGTGAGCTCAAGGCCAGCCTGAATTGCATAGCAAGACCCTGTCTCAAAAAGACAAATAAATAAATAAGTAAATAAAATTACATAGGTTTAAGAGTGTAGAAAGTGTTTAAGAGCATATGAAATGTCAGTCCAGGCGTGGTGGTGCACGCCTGTAATCCCAGCACTCGGGAGGCTGAGGTAGGATGATCCTTGTGAGTTCGAGACCAGCCTGGGCTACAAAGTGAGCTCAAGGCCAGCCTGAACCGCAGAGCAAGACCCTGTCTCAAAAAGACAAAAAAAAAAGAGCGTATGAAATATGTGTAAGAGTGTGGGAAAGGTTAATAAGAGAGTGGGAAATATTTATAGGACTGTGGGAAGGGCTTATAAAGCCTTAAAATTTATATGAATAATTAGATACAATGCCTCTACTTTGCAGGTTTTCACCTATCTTGGGGGTCTTGGGAACGTAACTCCCGTGATAGGTGAGGGATCACTGCATTCCTCTACAGCTGGATGACGTTAAAGAAACATCTTGCTCAGGTGCAATGGTACGAGCCCACAGCACCAGCCCCTAGAGAGAATGAGGCAGAAGCACTGTCTCAGCCCAGGAATTTGAGGTCAGCCTGGGCAACACAGAAAGGGCGGTCAGGGGCACACACACCGTAGCAGCACGGACTACTCACCAAATCCAACCTGTACAGAAGAGACAGTGTGGCCAAATGAACTGGAGGGGCTGGTAGACACTTACTTTCCACTGAGCAGGTTGGGCAGGGAAGACTCAGGCAGTGCCCTGTGTAGGCCGGGCACTTCTGGCACATCCTGGGAGCTCTCAAGTTCCAGGGTCCACTCATCCTGGACAGCGAGGCAGGACCCACAGGCAGCCAACTCCAGAGGACGCTGAGACGTGCAGGATGAACCCTCTGCTTCAAACAATGTTGGTGTCTACCAGAAAATGGGAAGACAACGGCCTCTGAGTATGCCGGGCCAGAGGAAGCATCACAAAATCCTCCACTATTGCTCTTTCTACAGCCTGGTGAAGAAAGAGATCACAACACAGACAGACCCAGCCTCTGTAGGAGACCTGGAGGGACCAGCACTGGCATGCCTTCCCAGACTCCAACCCAACACAGCTTTCAGGGAAAGGGGAGGATGAGCTGCGGCACTCACAGAGGGAGGGGCGACAAGTCGGTACACTTGCCCTGGGTGCAGGAATGCAAACCAGCGGACGGAAGAGCCAAGGAAGAGGAGGAGAACCTGTAAGGAAGGACAGCAGGGAGCTGGGTCCCAGCTCAGAGCTTGGGCATGGGAGGCCAGGCCCTAGGTGCCAGGAGCCCGGCTTTACCTTCTGATCCTTGTTCACATCTTTCAGGGGCTCGGGTGGGCCCCATTCAGTCCCCTCCTTCCTCTGGGTGCCCCCAAGCCAGATCCCTGACACCTGGAAACTGAAGGTGGGTTTGAGCACCTCTATGCTGGCCCTTGGGGAGGCACAAAAATTCAGCTTCATGAGGGTCTCCTTGTGGGACAGCAAGAACAGCCGGCTCTGTCCTACACGGGGCCCCTCCAAGGAGGTAAGCTCTGTCTGAGGAGATGCTGAGGCACTGGCTGAAAGAAGTGCAGATCTGGGCACAGGCAGGATCAAGGCGTCAGCAAGAAAGAACTGGACATAAACTCTGCTGGGAAGACAGGAACAGATCTCTTGGTGATGCAAGCATTGTGTTTTGGGTCCCAGCACTCTCCCACTTGAATTCAGGAGGACAGTACCACCCTAAGAAGCTGACCTAGCTTGCTGCTTCTGGATGAAGTCTCCCATGCCCAGCTCCTTCCAGGAAGGAAAGCTGCTCTTGACATTCCTCTCTATGACCAACTGGAACCTCTCCACCCGAACCAGGCAGCCTAGAGGAAGAAAGTTCTCTGTTTTGGCAAGAAAACTACAGAGTAAGCAGTAAGGCACAATACCCTGCAGGTTTCACTGCCCATCCAAGGCCAGAGCTGATTCCCTCCACACTTGACCATTAACCTCCCAGGGGGCAATACTGCCACGGAGGAACCATTCCACCTCCATGTACAATTCTGGCCCTGGCCTCCGAGGCTAAAAGGATTGGATTGTGCTTTTTCACAAATCCTTAAAATGCCTCTTCCTAATTCTCAGTAATTCCCCTCTCTAGGGTTTTCCTGTCTACAAATCCTAGTAAACCAAATACGACAACTGTCCTTCCAAATGCAGAATGTGAGAAATGGAGTTGTCATCCTGGTATGCATGTTAGGAGTCGGGGGGCGGGTGCTGTTAGGAACTGTAGCTCTGGTTAAGGGTCACCTGGCTCTTTCTCTCTACCTGACACACCAGTTTCCCAAACTTCTCCTTAAACTCGTTCATCAACATGTGTCACTTTACCATCTCTAGTAAACCTCAGCAGATGTTTCTTGCTGGTCATTGCCTCACACCCAATTGTAAAATCTCTACCCTACAAGCACCACCTTTCTGCCTCTGAACTCCATACCTATGAGCCTTGGGTCAGTGACAGGCTGAGAGTCCTTGGCCAGGAGCAGGCAGGGCAGAGAAGCACTTTGGTCCCTAAGTTGCAGATAACCTTTACGAGACGAAGCCACCAGGACCCCAAGTAAAACCTGTAGGAAGAATCAGGCATGGTGGCACACGCCTATAATTCAAGTAGGAAGACCACACATTCAAGGATACCCTGTGTTACATAATGAGTGCAAGGCCACTCTGAACTACAAAGCAAGGCCGTCACAAAACAAAACAAAACAAAACAAAACAAAACAAAACAAAACAAAACAAAACACAAATCTTATAAGAAGAAGACCAGCATACAATATTTACTTAGTTTCCTGGTACTGGGGATTGAACTCAGGACTTTCACACAAAGCTACAGCCCCAGTTTTTTGTTTTTTTTTTTTTTCTATTTTGAACAGGGTCTCACTAAGTTGTTAAATTGCCCAGTCTAGGCTTGAACATACAATCCTGCCTCAGGCTTCCAGAGTGCCAGGATTACAGACGAGCACCACCACATCCAGCTTCAATTTTTTTTTTTTGTTTTTTTTTTAAACAGAAGCCACGCAGACTGCATTCCCCCTCTCTTGCTCCCCCTAAGGAGAAAGCAAGAACGATCATGAGTGGCAGGTGGCAGCTGCAGCGAAGCAGTACCAGGAGCCAGCTCCGCGCTCAGGAAGGAGCCCTGTGCCTCCTCCTCGCGGTGTCCAGTACTCTCCACTATCAGAGAAGCTTCGCCAGTAACATGCTATAGAAATGATCCCTCCTCTTTTTTTGATCAATTTTGCATGCCTGTATCTGGTAATCTGAGCAATTACTTTGAAGATAACAACATGTAATATAACAATCATTGACTTCCTATCATCTTGTTGCGAAATTCTCTATCATTTTTAATGGGTTTTTTTGAAATTTTTTATCTCTGTAAAGTAAAAACAAAGATCCCTGAAAGTATAGCTCCAAAATATTAATAATGCTCCAAATATTAATAATGAGCATCAGTGCCAGGCACTGTGTCAAATGTGAGCACACAAAGCGAACAAAAAAGATGTGGCTCTGACTACAGAGCGCCTGCTCTTAGACGGACGGGAAAAATACAAAAACATTTGCACATTTAGTAGCAAGAAATACAGTGCAAGATTGGAGCTAGAGGTAAGAGAGCACGCAGGAGCTCATAGGCTATAATGAGGAATTTGGTTTTATTATGTAGGCACTGAGACAGAAGTGTTTGAACAATGAAAAAGTTTAAATAAGAGAATTCTATAATCCAAGTTACATTTTTACTGCACTCTTTCTAGTTGCTGCAGGGAAAATGAAGTGGTGGGGACCAAAAATAGATGGGGCACTCTAGTCAGAATGCTGGTATAGCTGGGCATGGTGGTGCACGCCTGTAATCCCAGCTCAGGAGACTGAGGCAGGAGGATCACCATGAGTTTGAGGCCAGGGTGCACTACATAGTGAGACCCTGTCTCAAAAAATTTAAAAAGGGCTGGGGATTTAGCTCAGAGGCAAAGTGCCTGCCTGGCAAGTGCAAGGTTATGAGTTCAATTCCTGGTACCAGAAAAAAAAAAAAATAGAAGGCAGTTGGTATAGTTAAAATGACCAAAAAAAAAATGACAGTTACCTGGACTAGAGTAATGAAATGAGGCTGGCAAGAAAAGGAAGCCCCCAGCCTCCCAGAGCCGCTTACCTGGGCCGGGCGGAAAGCAGAGGGTTGCAAACAGAACCAGGACCAGGCCAGGCGCCGGTTGAGCTGGCTGCTGGGCAGGTAGGCAGCCTCTGGGAGGGGCAGAAGGGCCTTTGGGTCAAAGGAGGCCCAAGCCTTCTGCTTCCCTTCTGCTGCCAGCGTGGCCAGAGTGGAGAAAGAGCAGGGAGTCTGCAGCCGAGCAAACTGTCTAGGAAAGAGAAGGAATGAGGTTGTGTCCTCTAATACATCAGTTCTGCCACCCACCTTCCCTTGCATCTCGTACTTTCTGGAGGGGACAGTGATGCGGCTCTTCCAGGATCTCACTGTGTATATTCCGAACCGTGCTGCTTGGTGGAGCAAGGTCATCCAGGGCAGAAGCCAGGAGCTGCAGTCCCAGGCTGGGGCTCTCAGGAGAGGAATGCTGCAGGAACTGGTGGTGTCTCAGCACATGGGGACATAGCCTTGGCCAAGACAAACAGCACAGTTACTTCCCCTAAGTCCTGTCCCTTCCAAGATCTTGCTTCCCGTACACAGAAACCGTTCTACACACACCACCTCCCTAGCCCAGACCCCCATGCTCCTCACTTGCAGGCCAACTCCACCAGGGCCCTGCTGGCCCACAGGTAGAGGGGAAGTCCTAACTGACGTTTCCATATCAGCTGTTCATACAAGGAGGCCCCATAAACTTGGTGGGACAACTGAGTCCCAGGCTTCTGACAAGAAAAGGCCCGAAGCAGAACGGCACCACGGAGGCAGGGCGCCAGCACTGGCCTTGTTGTCCCTCCACCCACTGACTGGAGAAGGTGAACATCCAGGAGCTGCAGGAAGATGACAAAAAGGATGAAAACAGAGATAAAGCCCCACTTCAGTGACCCCAGACTGTTCCCACTGCTCACGTCCCAGGACAAAGGCACACAGCTTTCCCTGCGCTGGCTGCTGCTCCCTTCCAGACTTCACGCCTCACTCCAACACAACCCACTCCCTGGGATCAGTGTCATCTCCCACTCTCGCCAGTCGGTCTTTCTGAGGACCTGGTGGCTCCTGGCTGGATAGGGGCCCTCTGCCCTCTCAGCAGGCTGCCTCAGATCCTCTTGGCCTACATCAGAGCTTCAGCCGACTCCTCCCCAACTCAGGAGGGCCTTCTGTGAAGACGCTTTATCCTCAACCCCTCCTCACACACTGTGTCCCCTGTGCCCAGGTGTCCTCCAGGGCATCAGCAAGACTGCTGTTCTCCTTTGCAAGCTCTTGTCCAAACCATCTGCATGAAGAGCACTCCGAGCCGGGGGTGCGGCACATGCCTGTAATCCTGGCACTCTGGGAAGCTAAGGCAGGATTTCAAGTTCAAGCCCAGTGTGGGAAACTTAGTGATTTAGTGAGACCTGTCTCAAAATAAAAAACAGCTGGGGATGTATCGCAGGACAAAAGTCCTGAGTGTAATTCCCAATACCATCAAAAGAAAAAGAAAAGAAAAGAAAAGCATTCTGTCCAACATATCACTTATTATTTTGTATTTCTCCGAGGAGGTTCCCACCTAGCATAACGAAAGAGCAGCCAATGAAGTAAGCGAACCGCTGAGGGGATCCCTGGTCACCGGCCTGACTTCTTACATACCTCCAGAGAGACCCCAGGTCGCACCACCCGCCTGAGGCCATGGAACTGCTGGTACGCAAGGCAGAGTTCCAGCTGCCCGTCCAACTCATAGAGGCCAGCGGGCTCATTCAACACGCCAGTGACTGTTCCCTGCAGAGGCCAGAGGTCCAGTGTGTCACCCACCTCTTTCCTTCTTGGAGATCCCCACTTCCTGCCCCACAAGCTCTAGGATCTCTTCCTAAGGCTCACCTTATAATGTAAGAGTCTGGAATTCCGGAAAGGACCTTTTTGCCCCTTCCTCTCTTGAGAGCTGCTGGGCATGGGGGCTGGTTTGGGTTCATCCTCCAAAATGGGTCCTTCTAACTCCAGCTCTAGCTCCTGCACGCATTCTGCGTTTAGCAGCATCAGATGGGAGGAGGGAGTGGTCGTCCAAACACGGTAACGGTGACCATAGACCCTGGATACTCGAAGTTCTGTCAGCACATAGTCCTCACCAGGCTGAAGGGCTCGGTGCCACACCAGCTGGGCAGGGATCTACCATACATGGAGGCAGACAATACAATGCATGAGATGCGCCCTACAACGCTGCCCTCTGCCAGAGCTCCTTCTCGTCACAGTGTGACCTCAAGACCTGCACCTCATGAGTTTTCCCTGTCTCCTCATCTCTATGCTTCCCAATGAAATCGTAAACCACACATTTTCAGGATTTCTCCTTTCTCACTGGAGATGTCAAATACTTCTTAATCCCTTCCTCAAGATATAAATCATTCCTAAAATTTCCTTTAAAATATACTAATATTCTGCCGGACGTGGTGGTGCACGCCTATAATCCCAGCACTGGAAGTTTGAAGCAGGAGGATCGCCACAAATTTGAGGCCAGCCTGGGCTACACAGTGAGTTTAAAGACAGCCTGAACTATATAGCGAGACCATGTCTCAAAAAGAAACAAAACAAAATAAAAATAACAAAATACACATATATACATACACACAATTATTCCATTGAGAAAATTATGCCTTTTTTTTTTTTTGGTTTTTTTTTTTTTTTTTCTGGTACCAGGAACCGAACTCACGACCTTGCGCTTTCAGGCAGGCGCTTTTGCCACTGAGCTAAATCCCCAGCCCCAAATTATGCCTTTTTTAACATTTCCCACATGCCTGTAATCCCAGCACTTGGGAGGCTGAGGCAGGAGGATCATTGCCAGTCGAGACCAGCCTAGGCTACAAAATGACTTTCAGGCCAGCCTGAACTGCAAAGCAAGACCCTGTCTCAAAAGGACAAAAAAAAAAAAACATTTCCCATCTCCTACTCCACAGCATACAAACAACATTCACCTATGTCATCAATATGCTGGGGTACAAATGCATGCACGTGCACTGGGATTATGGGGGATCACAATCACAGGCATGCACTACCACAATGTGGCTATGAAGGTAATTTTATTTTTAGTGCGCCTGCATTTTAACTTTGACCCATTACACAAGGTCAGCTGTGGAATTTTCCATTGTGACATCATGAGAGCCCTTGAACACTTTCAGATTTTGGAGCACTTTGAATTTCTGATTAGGGTTGCTCAACCTGTATCTGGTTTGTCCAAGAGGGAGGACAGGAAGGACAATTCAAGGAGAAGGCAACAACATAATAGTCCTCGGAATTCAGACTAAGCCAGGCATGGTTTGGGGACCAGGAGAAAACCTGCAATGATGGAGAGGAGGGGTGTTGCTGGAAGTTTCAGGAAACGAAATGGCAGAACCAAGACAAGGGAAGAAGCCCAGAAGGGCCAAGAAGGCATCACCTGGACTGGGAGGAGACAGTAGGACAATCGCTGAAGAAATTAAGCCTGAAGAAAAATGTTCATGGGTAAGACGGTTCATAAACACAACAATCTTCTAAAGCATGCTCCTCCCACAGGCATAAGATGCACGGCTGCCTCTCTCAGGGGCTTCGAAAGCACCTGACAGGAGCCGGAGTATTGCTTAGTAATGGAAAGGGTCCTGGTATGAACCAGGCCCTGGGTTTAAGCCCCAGAATAACAACAACAAAATACCCACACTACAGCTCAAGAAACTCAAACTTCAGTTATCTGTGCTCAACTTTCCAGACCTCTGTTTCTACTCTGAAACCAGCTAAGTCCCACCAGTTAGCCCTTGGATAGCACAAGTCATCATAAGGTATTGCTGAGCCCTTACTTAAAACTTACCGTACAGGTCAAAACAAGTCATTAACAATGGTCTGACTGAGCAAACAAATGAAGGATTGTGGGAGGTTCCACTCCCCAGCTCCCCCTCTGTGCTCCTTCAGCTCTCAGGAGGACCCCCAGTATCTCAGCCCCTTCGCCTTTCTTCACATGCTGAGGTCCTTCCCTTTCCCTGTCTGACACCAGGATCTGAATGCTTAGCCCCTCAATCCAGCCCTCTCTACCCTTCACCCTTGAGTGTCCCAGTACCACATTATACATCTGTCTCCATTCCTCTCTAAGGTAGAAACCGCACTCCAGGAAGACAGATCCATGCCATCCCAGAGCCAAACACAGGCCTCTGTTGCTACCTGGCAATCTCTTATCCCCTACTGACTGGTACAGTGGCTACCCTGAACCTTCCCTCTCCTTTTCAACCTCCAGTCCTTCACTGGAGAGATCACCTCAGCTCTTAGGCTATAGAAAAGATTCACAGGGTTATCTAGAGCAACAAAAAGTCTCCAACATGCCTCTTCAGCAGCCCGTATACATACCAAGAGCATGGGGGTGCTTTGCTGCTGTGGGTGTAGCTCAGCGATAAAACATGCACACGTAAGGCACTGGGTTCAATACCAACCCCCAAAAAATCCACAAAAAAAACCAAAAGCACCCTCACCCTGAACCCTCAGTTTATTCCAGAGGCCACCTCTGCCCCTCAGACAGCCTTATGCATGTGTACCTATCTGCCACTGTACTTATAACTTACAATCCTATGCAGCCACCGTTGCTATACTCATCGATTAAGAGCTGCCAAAGGCCGGGCGTGGCGGCACATGCCTGTAATCCCAGCACTAGGGAGGCTGAGGCAGGAGGATCATTGTGAGGTCGAGATCAGCCTAAGCTACATAAGTGAGTTCAAGGCCAACCTGGACTGCATAGTGAGACCCTGTCTCAAAAAAACCACCAAGAGCGAGCTGCCAAAGGACAAGAGCCATCATCTTATTCAACTTCTAACTGACCAAGGTGCCCAGTCCATAGCACATATTCAATCAATAAAGGCTGAATCTCGGTCCAGAACATCCTCTCCTCTCTTCTAGCAATTTGAAGCCTACCTATCCTTCAAGACCCAAACCAAGTTTACAGCACCTTATACAGCCTCCCCCAACACCATAAACTCTAACTGGCCTGCTATAGCAATTACAAATTACACCACCCATCTTAGAACTTACATACTGCCTTGTATTATTCTTTAGTTGTTTCATTAATCCACGCCATATAGGATCTACATACTTTTTTTTTTTTTGGTCTTTTTGAGACAGGGTCTCACATGCAGTTCAGGCTGCCTCAGCCTCCCACGTGCTGGGATTATAAGCATGCGCCACCACACCCAGCTAGGATCTACATACACTAAGCTTACAAACTATCCAAAGGCATCATCTATAAAAATGCAGGTATACTTCAGAGATGTCTATCTTGATATATAGCAAGAAAGAGCCAATTCTGTCCTTCATGAAATTTTCTAATGATCCTTAAGAGATTTATATATTCTTAAAAAAAAAAAGAGAGATTTAAAATATTCTAATGTAACCCTGGCTTGGTCCTCATGCCTATTATCTCAGCATCTGGGAGGTTGAGGCAGGAGTATTATAAATTCAAGTCCAGCGTACACAATTCAGTGACTTAGCAAGACTCTGTCTCAAAATAAAAAATAAAAAAAGGCTTGGTGATATACTTCAGGGTAAGGGCCCTGAGTTTAATACCCAATACCTTCCTCACCAAGATCCTCCTTGACCCAGGAGAAAAAGTCAAGGTCAGAAATTTAGGCAGCTTCTTTTTAAAAAGCATGTTTAATTTCTTTACACTCTATTCACTGATACTTAAGCTCATCACATTCACATATGTAAGAATTCTAACTTTGCTACTAAATCTAAGTCTCCTTCCTTTTTTTTTCTCCTTCCTTCCTTCCTTCCTTCCTTCCTTCCTTCCTTCCTTCCTTCCTTCCTTCCTTCCTTTTTGTCTCTATCTTTCTTGGTGATTCTAGAGATTGAACCCCTAACTTCACACAAGCTAGGCAAGCGCTTTTTGTTTTTTGAGACAGGGATTCACTATGTAATTCAGGCTGGCCTCAAACTCACTATGGAGGCCAGGCTGGTCTAGAACTCAGGGCAATCCTGCTGCCTCAGCCTCCTGAGTGCTAGGATTACTGGCATGCAACACCACACCCAGCTGTAGGCAAGCAGTTTGTTAACTAAGCTAAACACCTTGTCCTGTTTCCTTTTCTGAGAAACATGTTAAAGAACCTTTCATGCAATTTTCTGTATGCTTTTGAAATATTATTTAGATGATTATGTATGTCATGAAGCAATGATTTGCCCTAGTACAAATATTAATGCTTTAGGGGCTGGGGATTTAGCTCAGCGGCACAGCGCCTGCCTGCCAAGTGTGAGGTTGAGAGTTCGATTCCCAGTACCAGAAAAAAACAAAACAAAACAAAAAAATTAATGCTTTAAAAATTGTACCTAGAGCCAGGCATGGTGGTGCATGCCTATAATCTCAAAACCCAGGAGGATGAGGTAGGAGGATTGCTCCAAGTTAAGGCATCCTCAGCTACATAGTAAGTTCAAGGCCAGTCTGAGCTACATGGCCAGACCTGTCTCAAAAAACAAAAAGTACTAGCTGATCTAGGAGCCTGGGGATTTAGCTCAGCAGCAAAAGCGCCTGCCTGGCAAGCGCAAGGTCGTGAGTTCGGTTCCCGGTACCCGAGAAAAAAAAAAAAAAAAAAAAAAAAAAAAAAAAACTAGCTGATCTAAAAAGAATCAACAATAAGTGCCAAATTTGTGTTTTTAATGCATTTACTCAATGCCTTATTTGAACTAAGACAATTTGTTTGCCCATCCTTCTAACATAGAGGAAAAATAAGTCATCCGGACAGTTTTCAAAAATGTCACAGTGGATACAAAGGTTATCTATGCTACTGTATGAACTGCATGGCAGAAAAGCCTATTCCCTACTCCATACACAGACAGCAACACTGCTGGAATTTCCTCTGCACAGCACTGTTCCAGAAAATAGCTCTCAGCTGCCCTCTTTCCCTATGCAGTTCCTTAAGAAGTTCTCTTTCCCATCAGGAGTTCAGCACCGCTTCCACACCCGCATGCCCTTGAACTGACCTTGCCCCTTACCTGAACAATAATGGGCACCTGGCTGACAGCCTGGCCCACAGTGGCAGGTGATTCACCAAGAGACAGGACGAAGTATGTCTTCTGCTGACTTCTAACCAGAGGACTCAACCGGACCAGCTTCCCGGCTAGATTTGACTGCGCAACTCTGAGCTTGCTTCTAAGAAGGGAGAGAAGGAGAAGAAGTCATTTCTATTTCTTTCCTTTGTCTCTACAACTGTCTTCCCTTCCAATGTGAAGAACCTGATAGGTAAAATGTTCATAGGGCAAAGTTGTTCCAAAACCCTTCCAACTCTTCTTTCCTTACATAAATGTGGTAGTGATAGAAAGTGTCCATATTTGACCCCCACAGATACCATTTTAAAAACCTTCAAACTCTTCTTTGCCCTTAGATACAAAACATTTCCTTTGAAGAACACTTCCCTTACACAGGATATAATGGTGCATATAATCCCAGCACTCATGAGGCTGAGGCAGGAGGATCCCTGCGAGTGTGAAGGCAGCCTGGGCTACATTGTGAGTTCTACGCCAGCCTGAAACTGTATAGGGAGACCATGTCTCAAAAAACCAAAAAACATAACCCTTCTTAGTAATCTTTTTATGTGGTACTGGGGATTGAACCTAACACCTACACATTGAGCTATATCCTCACAGCTCTAGCCTTTTTTAAGTTTTTATTTTGAGACAGGATCTCTCTAAGATGCTAAGTTGCCCAGGCTGGCTTCAAACTCCCAGGGATCCTCGTACTTCAGCATCCCAGAGTGCTGTGATTACAGGCGTGCACCTCTATGCCCAGCTCTTTTTACCATTCTTGATGTTCAAAGTCCCACGGACCCTTTGGAATTTGTCTTTTTTTTTTTTTTTTTTTTTTTTTGAGACAGGGTTTTACTATGCAGTTTAGGCTGGCCTTGAACTCACTGGGTAGCCCAGGAAATCCTCCTGCCTCAGCCTCTCGAGTGCTGGGATTACGGGTGTGCGCCACCATACCTAGCAACCCTCTGGAATTTAGAATATTCCATCTATATTACTATCAAAACCTTAAAAACTGGGCATGGTGGTGGTGGCCCACGCCTGAAATCCCAGCACTCGGGAGGCTGAGGCAGGAGGATCATTGAGAGTTGAAGGCCAGTCTGGGCTACAAAGTGAGCTCAAGGCCAGCCTGAACTGCATAGCGAGACAAGAAGACAAAAACAAAAACAAAAACTTTCTTCCCTCCACTGAACCACATCATCTCCATGTTTCATGGTGCACCCACCTCCCTGAGAGAGGCAGCAGTTACCTGTGTCTGAGCACCCGGGATGCAATCTCTGGGTACAGGACAGGGATAGGTGTGAGAGGGTTGGGACTGATGGTCAAAGGAAACACTGGCACAGGGGCATCCCAGAGCTCCAAGTGCCCTTCCCCTGAGGAATTCCACTTAGCAGGAGGAAGGTAACTCCAGCTGGGGAACAAGAAGAGATGGCCCAGCCAAGAAAGGTCCAAACCTAAGAGCTGGAAAAAACCAAGAAGATGGGTTAACTGAGTCCTTGAATCCCACCTGCCCCCTAGAATCCTAGCTGCCTTGCTCTTTAGACACCACTCCTGTTAGAATCTGAAGCATCTGACTTGGTCCTCCCTACTTACCTCACAGCCCAGGACTCCAGTGTTATCTCTCACAAAGAGGCTTCCATCCCTGCTCTCTTGTTCCAAGTCCTGTGACAGGTCTGTTAGTGTCCCTAAAAGTAACAGCTGCTCCTGAGGCAGAGGGTTCCCATTGCGCCCAGCCTCTTGGGCCCAAGTCTCATAAGCACTACCGCTCCAGGACAGGTGGCTACAGCATGGATGATGGCGGCTCCTGAGTTTCTGGACTGAGACAAAGCTGGAGAGTGGGGAGAACAGAGGTTTACAAAGCCAGTCCAAGCCTAGGAGGACACGGTCCCACAGTTCATGAAGGGGAACATGACCTAAGAGATGTGCGTGATGAAGAGAAAAGAGCTGCAGGGGAGGGCCTAACAATGAGCATGAGGTCTGGGTCTAGAGGCCGCATATTACTGAGGGAAAAGCAAAAAGTCCCTGCCAAATGATAGTGGGGGGCAGGGCGGGTAATAGGGATCAAACCCAGGGGCACTCTAACACTGAGCCATCCTCTGTCCTTTGCACTTACTTTCTTTCTTTTCTTTCTTTCTTTCTTTCTTTCTTTCTTTCTTTCTTTCTTTCTTTTGAGACAGGGTCTCATTATGCAGTTCTGGTTGGCCTTGGACTCACTGTGTAAGGCTGGCCTCAAATTTGCAGCGATCTTCCTGCCTCAGCCTCCTGAGGCATGCACAACCACGCCTGGCTCTAAACTAAATCATTTTCAAACACAAGACTTTTTCAATGTGACCCTACAATACAACACAGCCTCTCTCAATAGAGGAAGCAGTGTGTTGATTTGCATTCTGGCAAACCAGTGTTTGAAGAACCACTGGTTTAACCTCATGAATGATAAAATTATACAGAATAATGAAAATAATGTTTTGAATAACAGAGTACAAGTAATGTCCTCTCACCAAGATTCCTTTGCCTCTACTGACTGACACAGGGAGTCAGCCTGTAGAATGTGTTTCCAAATCCTATGAACAGGTTAAGGGTGCCAGGGAAAAAACATCCTAGCAGAAGTTAGTTTGGGCAATGACGAATTAAGCAAACGTAAACAGATTTTTACCTTTTGTCTTAAAAAGCATAAACAGGGCTGGGGATATAGCTCAGAGGCACAGCGCCTGCATGGCAAGCATGTGGTCTTGAGTTTGATTCCCAGTACCAAAAAAAAAAAAGCATAAGCAAAAAGTAACTTTTTATTTTATATATGTATATATATATATATATACATATATAAAATAAAGCAGTTTAAAAAATAAGCTAGAACTACGTACTTCAATATGAAGTATAATGTTAAGCACACACACACAAAAAAACACTAACAAAAAAACCCAAAAGAAGCCGGGCGTGGTGGCTCACACCTATAATCCCAGCATTCAGGAGGCTGAGGCAGGTGGAGAATTATTGCAAGTTCGAGATCAGCCTGGGCTACAAAGTGAGCTCAAGGTCAGCCTGAACTGCATAGCAAGACCCTGTCTCAAAAAGACAAAACAAACAAACAACAAAAAAAAATGTTAAATACAGGCAAGCAAATTACAGAGGATATATAAGATAATGTATCATTTATATAAGATAATCTATTGCAGACTGCTGAAGGATAGATGGATCCATAGTAAGATATAGATATTGTGGGAATAATATATCCCATACTTAAAGACAGTGGTTACTGCTATAAAGAAGAAATAGGTTTCCTTTGGTATAAATTTTCTGAGCCTTGAATAAGTTAATGAATCCTCTAAATCTCCTAGAGGTTATATTGAAAGTCTCTCAAACTTATTTGGCCATGAAGCAAACTCTGTTCTTCTGGTGCTTCACTAACATTGCCTAGTATGGTATAGTATATGAAATGATAATGTGCTAAGAATCCTCCAAAAATACACTCAGAAAACCTTAAAGTCTGGTCTTTGTTTTCTTTTTAAATTTTGAGGTACCTGAGATCAAACCCAGGGCCTTCACATTGAGCTACATCTCCAGGTCTTTATTTTTTTCTTTTTAAAACAGGGTCTGATAAGATGCCTAGGCTGGGCTTGAACTTGTGACCCTCCTGCCTCAACCTACCAGACCACTATGATTATAGGCATGTACCACTATGCCAGCTTGAGGTCTTTTTTTTTTTTTTTTTTTTTTTTGGTCTTTTTGAGACAGGGTCTTGCTATGCAGTTCAGACTGGTCTTGAGCTCACTTAAGGTCTTAAAAACAATAATCCAGCTGGGCTGCAGTGGAAGACACCTGAAATCTTACCTACTCAGAAGGATCATAAGTTTGAGGTAACCTGGGTAACTTAGCAAGACCATCTCAAAACTAAAAAAAAAAAAAAAAGCCAAGTGTAGTAGTGCACATCTATAATGCCAGCACACAGGAGGCTGAGACAGGAAAATCACCAGGAATTTGAGGCCAACATATGCTATACATATGCTATAAAGTGAATTCAAGGCCTTGCTGAACTATAGTGAGAACTTGTCTCAAAAAATAAAAATAATAAAAATGATAACAATAAATAAAAATTAAAACAAAATAAAATTAATAAATACAGACAGACTTAGGGATGTAGCTCAGCACTAGAGTGCTTCCATAGCATATACAAGGTCCAGGTTCAATTCCCAGTACTGAAAAAACAAAAGGAAACAAAAAAACAATCTACACTTGGTAAAGTCTTGAATCTTTCTGAATCTTTTGTTTTGTTTTCGTGAGATACAGTCTCACTATATAGTTCAGGCTGGCCTTGGACTCCCTGTGTGGCTCAGGCTGACCTCAAATTCACAGCAATCCTCCTGCCTCAGCTTCCTGAATGTTGGCATTATAGGCATGTGCCAAAACACCCACCCAATCTCTCTGAATCTTACGTTCCTAATATACAAAATGAAGATAATACTAGATTCTTCCCCCACCTTGAGAACTCTTTTTCCAAATTTTCTTTCTTCCCTACTTCCTTTCTTCCTCTCCTTTCCTTTACACTTGACTTAATCCAGTCTAGGAAAAGAAGAGCTGCAGGGAAAATTTGGCAGAAGGGGATGTGTTTAGACCACTTCGTCCTCCACTCACTCTTCTCACTTCCCTGTTTTCTGTTTTTTTTTCCTTTTGCTTGTTTTTTTTTTTTTTTTAAAGAGAAAAAAACAACAACAAAGACAAAAGCAAAACAACATAAAAACAGTAAAAACGATACAGAATTTCAGAACAAGACAGGAAGTTAACAATGGTTGTTACATTACATATTGTTATCTTCAACAAAGTTGCTGAGATTACCAGATGTAAAAATGCAAGACTGATCAAACAAAGAGAATAAAAAATAATAATACTAATAAAAAAAAATTAGAAACGATACAGGACTTCCCTAAACAAGATGGTAGGAATTCATCAGCGGTTGTTATATTGCATATTGTTGTCTTCAAATAAGTTGCTCAGATTACCAGAGATAACCATGCAAAATTGATCAAAAAAATTTACGCATTAACTGTTCTTTTCAGTTCTGTTTTTTGTTATTGTTCCACACTCTAGTTTTTAAGGTTCTTGATAGCACAATAAATTACTATTAATTTCTTATCGTAACTGTGTTTTGAAGTATTGTTTTCAAGCGCCTGCCTGGTAAGCGCAAGGTCCTGAGTTCAATTCCCAGTACCAAAAAAAAAAAATGTATTGTTTTCTTCTGTCTTGTAGTCATGTCTCTCCAGTACTTTGTCTATAGGCATGCTGAGCTACTTATTTTCTTCTGATACTTATTCTGAATGAGAGTTGACTACAATCCAGCTCATTCTTTAAAAAAGTGAAGATGGATTTTTCTGTGCTTTTAGCATCAAGGGATATCTCAAACAGTGTCTCCAGATACTGTCTCTTCTAGTTTCATGGATCTCGAGCTACCTTTTCTTTTTCACAGTGATTTCTGTGATTATGCAGGTCCACACTTATGTGTCTGTCGGCCTTTCTTCCTAACATTTACCCTGACAATTTCTTTCTTTCTTTTGCCCTACTGTACCTGTGCTATGCAATTTGGATTCTACTTGTAGCAATTTCTCCCCAGTGTTGGGCTGTTTCACTGATTTCAAGAGGAATACAGTACAGTACAAGGCCCAGGCAGTTCTAGTGTGTCATCAGGTCTTACCATGTAGCTTTAACACTCACCAGCGGGTGGGAATCCCTTCCATTTTTAAAGTACAGATTCTTCCTTCTCAATCTGAAATTCAATCTCCCTGCCAACCCTCACCTTCCTTACCTGTAGCTGATGGGAAGTGTAAAACCGTGGTTCGTCTCCTGGGAACACCAAATCCTCTTCACACAGTCAATCACCAGCTGAGTCAGATGAACATTAGGCTCCTGGTCAGTTGGACAAATGGCCTCTTGGATGAAGGTGTGGGCAGCCTCAAGCCAGGCTTGTTCCTAAGGAAAGTAAATCTAGTGAAAACATCTTCAGGACTATCCTGTCCACCAAAGAAACTTTTGGGAATAAAAAATAGGAAAAAAAAAATCCAGAGAGCATATAAAATAAAGATCAAGAGCAAAAGTGTTTAGAATTTGAAGAAGCCTTCAAAGTCCTTAGTTGATTTTTTTTAAATGTGGTTTTTTTTTTTTTTAAAGACAGGGCCTCATCATGTAGCCCAGGCTGGCCTCAAACTTGCAATGATCCTCCTGCCTCAGCTCTCAAGTGCTTAGATTGCAGGCCTATCCACCACGTACAGCAGAAATCCTTAGTTTATTTTTTTTAATTTTTATTTTATTGTTACATTTTAGATACATGTAGTGATAACATTGCTCACAGGGAATTTTTTTTTTTTTTTTGGTTTTTGGTTTTTCTCTAGTACCGGGAACCGAACTCACAACCTTGCGCTTGCCAGGCAGGCGCTTTTGCCGCTGAGCTAAATCCCCAGCCCCGCTCACAGGGAATTTGTACCTGTACATGATATATCTTCCTTCAGAAGTCCTTAGTTTAGAGCAAGGATGTAGCTCTGTAAAAGAGCACTTGCCTGGCATGAACATTACCTTAGATACTATCCTTACATTACCTTAGATACTGTTTCTACTACTTAGATACAGCACAACAAAAATAAGTCTTAGTCTAGCCACAGTTACTTGAAGTGGCAATCCAGCTTTGGTCTTCCTTCCTTTTCTAAGAAACCTATAGTAACCCTTGAAGTGCTCACCTGGAACACACATTCCTCTCTGGACCCTGTTCTGACCATCTCAGGCAGACCGCCAGGTGTTCCCACAGCACCCTGCACTCTCCTCTATTAGGAGTAATGACTACAGCCAGGTACAGCATCACACACCTGTAACCCCAGCCCTCAGGAGGCTCTCAAGTTTGAGGCCAGACTGGACTACAAGGGGAGACCTTTGTTCAGAACAAACAAACAAAAAAGAACGACTATCACCATGTTTAGTGCCATACCATCTTACATGAGGTCTGCGTCTACAAACAGCAAGTTGAAAAGCAAGAAGAGGTAAGATCACCCTTTCCTCTTTTTTTTTGGTACCAGCAATCGAATTTAGGACCTTGCACTTGCAGGCAGGCGCTTGTGCCACTGAGCTATATCCCTGGCCCAGAGCTATATCCCCAGCCCCACCCTTTGAAAAATACTGTACTTTATCTCTTTTTTTTTGTCTTTTTGAGACAGAGTCTCACTACGCAGTTCAGGCTGGCCTTGACCTCACTTTGTAATCCAAGATGGTCTCAAACTCACACCAAGTGCTGGGATTACGGGCTTGCGCCACCACACCCAGCACTGTACTTTATCTTGCTCATAAAAAATAGGTCATAGTATTGTTCTGTAATATGCTTATTTAAATAAGTGTGCCTAATAGGACATAAAAAGGACATAGACATATGATTTTAAATCACTTCCCTTTTTTCAGGTATATACATTTGAGTTTCCACAAACTAAACATATGCAAGATATAAATCCCAGTGAGCTACATTCCCAATTCTTTTCGAGATAGGTTCTTGCTAAATTGCCTGGGCTGGGCTCAAACTTGCAATCCTATCTCAGTCTCTCAAGTAGCTGGAATTACAGGCTTATGTCACCACTCAGATTAAGATGTGAGTTGTTTTTGTTTTTATTTTTTTATACAGGGTCTCGCTGTGTAGTTCAAACTGGTCTTGAACTTACTATGTAGCCCAGGCTGGCCTCAAACTCACAGCAATCTTTCTGCCTCAGCCTGAGGGCTGGGACTACAGACGTGCACCGCCATACCTGGCCTAAAATGTGTGCTTTCTGAGAAGGGAATGAACTACTTTTGCATGTTTGACACAGATTCTGGTTGCCATTATATACAGCTTTAGGGAAGAGGATCAGCTTGGCATCTTCCCAATGTAGGCAGCTTTACTTTAAAGCTCTCACCTGCCTGGCAAGTGCAAGGTCCTGAGTTCAATTCCTAGTACCAAAAATAAAAATAAAAATAAAAATCTCAAGAGAGGGCAGGAATATAGCTCAGTGGCACAAGAGCCTGCCTGGCAAGTGCAAGGTCCTGAGTTCAATTCCTAGTACCAAAAATAAAAATAAAAATAAAAATCTCAAGAGAGGGCAGGAATATAGCTCAGTGGCACAAGAGCAGGCCTGGCAAGTGCCAAGATCCTGAGTTCAATTCCCAGTACCAAAACAAAAATAAATAAATAACATCTCAAAAGAGTTTAGGAGCGAGACCTTTATCCTACTCAATGGTATTTCTAAATCATTAGGAATGCAGCTTTGTCCCTCTGGTCAATCTTTCACGCTCAGCAAATCTTTAGCAGCTTGAAAACAGCATGAGCAGGGTGTGGTAGCAAACACCTGTAATTTCAGCAATTGGGAGCTGAGGCAGGGCACTCCTGTAATCTCAACACTCTTGGGAGGCTGAGGTAGGAGAATTGTTGCAAATTCGAGACCAGCTTGGGCTACAAAATGAGCTCAAGACCAGCCAGAACTGCATAGCGAGACCCTGTCTCAAAAAGACAAAAAGAAAGAGAAGAAAACAGCATGAAAAATCTATCTTCAAAGCTGGGCATGGTGGTGCTCACCTATAATCCCACCACAAAGGAGGCTGAGGCAGAAGAATGGCCACAAGTTTGAGGTCAGCCTTGGCTCACAGTGAGTTCGAGGTCAGCCTGAACAACATGGCAAGATCCTGTCTCAGAAAAGAGTGTTCAAATTCTAGATGACTTCAGGATCCTTGTGCAGTCTTATCACTGATGTACACCTTCACCCTACCTCTGTCAAATATTCTTCTTTCATTCAGTTTTGGCCCCCAGACCAGGTCATCACTTCAAGCTGCGCTACCAACATACTCAAAGCCTAGACTTTTACTTTTTGTCTTCTCAATTTTTTTTTCCAGTACTAGAGATTGAACCTGAGTCACTCTATAGGCCTAGCCCTTTCTATTTTTTTTTTTTTTTATGTTGAGATAAAGTCTTGCTAAATTCCCCAGTCTGGGCTTGAACTTATGATTCTCTAGCCTCAGCCTCACAAGCAGCTGGGATAAAAGATATGTGCCCCTATGCCCAGCCTCATTCTTCTTTTTTAGTGGTTCATATACCTCTGATGACTTGTCTGTTGTTTAGCACACCAAATACCATGGCTTCTCAAATACCACTGTTTCAAAATGAAATTAAGTTTTTAATTTTATTTTATTTTTGTCTTTTTGAGACAGGGTCTTGCTATGCAGTTCAGGCTGGCTTTGACCTTACTTTGTAGCCCAGGCTGGTCTCAAACTCGCAACAATCCTCCTGCCTCAGCCTCCTGAGTGTTGGGATTACAGGCGTGCATCATCATGCCCGGTGAAATTAAGTTTTTTAAAAAGACAAATCCAAGCCAGGCCTGGTAACACATGTATCCCTGTAATCACAGCTCTCTGGGAGGCTAAAGCAGGTAGATGGCAAGTTCAACCCCAGTTAGGGCAGTTTAGAGAGACCCTGTCTCTAAATTATTTTTAAAAACAACTAAGGATATAGCTCAGTGTAAAGGCCCTGGGTTCAATTCCCAGTACTCCCAAAAAAACAAAACACAAACAGACAGAAAACCAGACAGATGTGGTAGCTCATGCCTGTAACCCCAGCACTCAGGAGGCTGAAGCAGGAAGATCACTGTAAGTTCAAGAAGCCACCTTTGGCTACAAAGTGAATTTAAGGCCAGCCTAAAATGCATAGTGAAACCCTGTCTCAAAAAGACAATAAATAAATCAATAAATACACAAACAAAAAGAAAACCAAATCCAAACAAATGAAGTAAACTATGGATTTCATCTGCTGAATTGGAATGAAGCAGGTCTGCATTTTAATAAGATCTCTAGATTGATTATGAACAGTGTAAGCTGAAGTTTAAGAATAAAATACACACTGGGGCTCGGGATATAGTTCAGCAGTGCAGCGCCTGCTTGGCAAATGTGAGGTCCTGAGTTCCATTACCAGTGTAACACTACACATTAGCCAGGCATGGTGGTGCAAGTTGAGGCAGGAAGACTGCTGAGAGTTCAAGGCCAGTCTAGATTAAAAAAATAAAAAACTATACACCTTTCCCTCAAATACTTCATCTGTTGGGTGGCTTTTTTTCTTTTTCACCATCTAATTTAACTTCTTGAGTTTTGCAAGTACTGGGAATTCAACCAGGGCCTTGTCCATATTGGGCAAGTGCTGTATCACTAAACTACATCCCCACCCCTTTTTACTCTGGTCTGAGACAGTGCTAAAATGTCCAGGTTGGCCTTGAACTTGTGATTCTCCTGCCTCAGCCTCCCCAGTAGTTTGGGATTACAAGTGAATGATCAGCCCAGACACGGCCTGGCTTTAAACAGCCACCAACTGATGATTGTTCCCACATCTTTAAACTAAATTTGAGTCCTCCCTCCTGAGCTTTGGTCCTGTCCATCTACCTACCAGAGTCTCCACCTGGCCAGTCTATAGGCAGCACAAGCCTAACAATGACCTTGTCACATCATCTCTTCTTCTAACCCTCTTTAACTTAGCACACAACACTCTCAAATAGTTGTTTTACATTGAACCTAGTTATACTCTTCAGCTCCTTCCTTTTCTTGCACAATATCCAGACCTTCAGATTCTGTAACACTGTATTTTTATTCTATTTTCACCTCTGGAATCGCAAAACTGTTGCCAAGGCCAGAACCGGTCTCACTGCATTTTAATCAATAGTTTTCCAAATCTTCACACTGCTACTTGACTAAACTAAAACCCAAATCTCATCCATCACCAACACCCACCAACAGCTCCCAATAAAGTTGCTGCTCAACAAATCTTAGAAGACTCGGCTCTGGCGCCTCCACCACCATCCAATTTAACTTCCTGAGTTTTCCCAAACCCTTGCTCCACTCTTTTCAATTTGTATCTGCTTCCACCTTGTAAACTTTTTTTTTAGTGCTTTTCTGCTTTGCTAACTCCTACACGCATTTCAGAACTCTGAAATTTTTCTTTTTCCACCACAGCTGCGTCCGGAGTCTTCTCCAGGACCCACAGGGTCTGAATCCTAGACAGTGTAAGGAGAGATGTTTAAGACTCACAAGCGGGCGCTACGCAAATAAAGTAATAAAATATTCGCAGAACCACTAACAGAGGAAGGAGCAAACCGTCTCATCTCCCCCTCTCCCGGCCGCGCCCAACGAGGTCCAAAGGCCAGAGACAGGTGAAAGAAACGCGAGAAGAAAGAAAGTTTTGGACAAACACCGTGCCTAAGGGACGGAGATCAGCACTCACAGGGAGAGTCTGAACCCGGCAATCCGTCATGATGAGCCAAAGCCCCGCCCCCGGGAACCGCGCGAACGGACGCCGCGAGTGCTCACGGGAGGGACTGTCAGTGACGTCATCAGGGCGCGTCGCTGTTCTGCGCAGCGTTTGCACGGCAACGGATTTCCGAAACATGTCTGTCTTTCTTTTTTTTTTCTTTTAAGAAAACTATTTTCAACAATTAATATATCAGTCTATATTTTTCTATATAATTTGTGATTTTGTTCAACATCAAATAAAATAGTAACTTTCATCATTTGCTTCTGTTCATTTTTTTTTTAATTTTTTATTTTAAAGAGTAAAAGAAGGATAACATAATATTAGGGGGGCTTACCAAATTACAGACAAAGTGGTAGGAAATTATAAATGGTTACTGTTTTACATATTGTTATCTACAAGATAGTTTCTCCGGAAACAAACAGACAAATAATAGTGAGTTACAGACAAAAGAGGTAGATTATCAATAATTGTTGTACTATATTTTGGTATCTTCAAAGTGGCTTCTAAAGAAAATAAATAGATCTATACGTTAATGACCAATTGAATAATCATATCTCCCCAGGTATTGCACAAGGTCCTCCTGGTTTACAGCTTGCGTATGGTTCTCATGACCCTGGTCCACTAGATCTTTGACTCTTCCGGCTTAGGCTGTATTCTCATGTTCTTTGAGTCCTTGTTCAGCAGCTGCTCCTCCGCTGACTCTGGACCTTTCTGTTTCTCAATGGCAGGGGCAAGAGTGACCCGTTGTGTGGCATATATTCCCAGGGGTTTCTGCATGTCGCAATGATTCACGCACGTCCGCGGGCGGGCCTCCGCAGCCCGTGTGCGGTGAGCCAATTGTGTCATTGCTTCTCTGTGCCATGATAGTTCTCAATTGCACGGGCGGTGGCTGGCCTGAGGGCTGGCGCGTGCCAGGCACCGGGGGCCCTCCTCCCCGGCACCTGTCTGTTAATGTTTTCCTGAGCAGTTCATTTTTCTTTCTAAAACGTTGCTCACCACAGGAGGCAATGAAGTATCTTTAAACACTACAGCCAAGGACCCAAACAGTCATCTCAAGCTACCTGTAGGCTTGTTTCATGGAATGGTGGTCATATCCATTTTCTTCAGTCATCTTCTGACAAGTTTTTGTAAAACATTTGTTCAATGACCTTCAAATATCTTCAAAATGCATAGACTCAGTTGTACTTCAAAGAGGCCAGCGATACAGCATGGCTGCCAGCAGTCCACATGCCTTCCTCCTTAGGCGGCAGTTCAGGAGAGGAAGCCAGTCTCCTCCTTAAGCGATGTTGAGATTAACGAGGAAGGGATGGGAGAGCTATAAGTTCAAAAAGCCCGCCTGGTTGATAACCCCTAAGCATCTTTTAATCTCCCTGAATTTGCCAACCAAAGAAGTGCTTCCTCCTAAATGCAGCCAGAACACCTCTTTCATACTTGTGTTATGTACTTAACTCACTGATGTCATTATTTAACTCTTCTCCCACTCCACTATGAAGTCAAGAGCTCCTAGAAGTCAGAATCTTGTTCTATTATTTGTTTTTGTATTCTGATGCCTAGAATAGTGCTTATTGTTGAGTAACTTGATAGAAACTTGGGAATCAATTAATGTAATCCTGTGCTCTCCTGAAGTAATGACATACTCTTGGTCTATGTCTCCTGAAGTCAACGAATGAATTTAAGGACAAAGGAGGTAGACGAATCAGGGTGTGGGGGTGCACACCTGTAATCCTAGCACTCTGGAGGCTGCGGCAGGAGGATCTCTGTGAGTTACAGGCCAGCCTGGGCTACATAGTGAGTTCTGGGCCAGCCTGAACCGCATGGTGCAAACCTGTCTCAAAAAAACAAAAAACAGGGGTGGGGATGTAGTTCAGTACCTGCTTGGCAAGTACCAGCTCGTGAGTTAGATTCCCAGTACAAAAACAAAACAAAACAAAAAACAAAGAGAAAACAAAAGGAAGAAGATGGGAGGAGTTTTTGCTTCCATTTTTGTCCTTTTCTGAGACAAGGTTTAATATGCAGTTCAGGCTGCCCTTAAACTCACTTTGTACTCCAGGATGTCCTCGAAATCTCCGCGATCCTGTGGGGATTACAGTTGTGCACCATCATGTCTGGTGGCAGAAGCAATGTTTATTAAGAGAGAAATAGCTATCAACTGAGGGGAGACCAGAAAGTGGGTTGCCAAGGAGACTCTGTCTAGTTTTTATATCAATAACTAGAGCTCAGACCACTTCAAGTCAAACTAAGATCAATCAAAAGATCAATCAATGCCCCCCTAAAAAACCATTATGTCTGGGCCAGGTTTAAAATTAGAGTGAGGCAAGTGGGGCATTTGGGCACAAACTTAAGGAGGCCCTTAAATTTTGCCCCCTAGGAGCCTCATCTGCCTTACTGTAGCAGGCTTAGCCCTGTCCTGGGTGTTGGGAGTGGCTGAAGCTGGACAGTAATTACATGTGCAGGAGGAAGCCAGCTAGAGAACACGGGAGCTCCTGGAAGCATGTAAATAAGACTTTGTAGCTTGTTAACTGGTTGCTAGGCAGCAAGGCTGAAATTAATCAGCCTCTTCACGTATAAAATAAACACTCTCCTGTCCTTGGGCAGTTCCCCTTAGCTCAGGAGAAAGAGAACCTCCACCCGATCCGAGCTTTTTGTCTCTTGTCTATTTTTTCCTCATTCTCGCCGCCATTCCTTCCCAAGGTACAGCAAGAACCCAACAGATCCTTGGGAAGGAAATGAAAATAAAATGGAGGGAGGAATAGGATAAGGACTTTTTTAGTGTAAAAATTTGTGATACCTACTCTTGTTTTTTGAAAGACCACTAGGGGCTGGGTATATTACTCAGTGCTAAAACACCTGCCCAATGTGCTCAGTCCCAAAAGTCACACAAAAAAACCCCACAGATTTGGGGCTGGGGATATAGCTCAGCTGCACAGCACCTGCCTAGCAAGCACAAGGTTGTGAGTTCGATTCCTAGTACCAAAAACAAAAACAAAAACAAAAAAACAGCACAGATTTGTTGGCCTGGGTATTGTGTGCTTGCTCTGTGCTTTACTCTAGGTTCCTTGCCTTCCAGGTTCAGGCTACGCAAACAAAGGAGACAAAGACAGGGCTGGGGATTTAGCTCAGCGGCAAAGCGCCTGCCTGGCAAGCGCAAGGTCGTGAGTTCGGTTCCCAGTACCGGAGAAAAACTAAAACCAAAAAAAAAGGAGACAAAGACAATTTGTACCTTGAAACGAAAAGGGGAAAGGCTTGCCCTGGGACAAGAGAGGAGAAGGAAAAAAAAGAACCCAAGAATTATTTCCCTTCTATCAACACTGTACTTGTGACAGTGGCTCCATTTGTCGTGTAGGATGACTTTCCCTGCTTTCCGGGCTGCTAACACCATTTCCTCCTTTTGTCCCTTCAAGCCAACAAGAAGTTGCGCACACAGGCCCTAGACCTCCAGCACTGTACATTTTTCTGTTTTCTGATAGGTCTTTTTTTTGGTACTGAGAATCAAACTCAGGACCCTGTGCTTGCCGGGCAGTTGCTTGTGCCACTGAGCTATATCCTAAGCCCCCTCTGATAGGTCTTAATACAACTATATGTTCATGGATTATTATTATAGGCAGCTAAATTAGAAATTAATGGACAGTCAGACAGGGATGGAGGGAGTCAGTGCAGAAGATAAGATCGCATCAAAAGTGTACTTGGGGACACATCCAAAGAAGCCCAGGCCTCAAAATGGGAATGTCACTGGGCATGGTGGCACATTCCTGAAATCCCAGCACTCGGGAGGTTGAAGCAGGAGTATTGCCATGAATTCAAAGCCAGCTTGGGCTACATAGCATAGTGAGACTCTGTCTCAAAAAAACAAACAACAAAAAAAATGGAGCTGCAATGGCCAGGGCTACATGCCTCCCTAAGAGGTATAGGGTAACTTGAGATTATACTGTAATTAACAATACCTTCCAGTGAGTCCAATAACCATCAGACACCTAAGTGGGTGACCAGAACATCTGGACCCATCCTCCCAGCTCTTCCTGTCTGCCTGCCGCTTCTCTCTCTCTCTCTCTCTTTTTATTTTTGGTACCAGAAATTGAACTCAGGACCTTGCACTTGCCAAGCAGGTGCTTATGCTACTGAGGTATCTCCCTGGCCCTGGTTCTTTTCAAAAATGCTTTTGTTCTTTGTAGGTTGAAAGTTATAGATAAGCTAAAGTTTATGTTGCTAGCCATATACCTTTACTTCCCTATTGGATCCACATTAGCTAATGGATAGTCTTGTAATTCTATTGGTTGATTGTAGTTTGACCCATATTGTACTTGCCTTGTGATTTTGCTCTGTAAAACATTCTGGTAGATGTAGCCTCTGTGGTAACCCCATTAGGACTCCTGTCTCTTAGGAGCTTTCTCTTAGCAAACCTTTCCTAATCTTAACCTCCTTTGTCCATTGGAATTCATTCAGCATATCTAACTCTAGCAGATTGAGAGTTATTTTTTCCCCATTACAGACTAGAACGTGTGCCAGCCCTGGTGGCACACGCTTGTAATCCCAGCACTCGGGAGGCTGAGGCAGGAGGATCGTTTCAAGTTCGAGACCAGCCTGGGCTACAAAGTGAACTCAAGGCCAGCCTAAACAGCACAGTGAGACCCTGTCTCAAAACAAACAAGCAAACAAACCAAAAAAAAGACAAAAAAAAACCAAAACCAACTAGATGGTCCACTGAGATCTTTGGAAAGCAGTAAGAGTTTGCTTTTGCTTCATGGCACCCCTGAAATATTTTGATGGGATTCTGGATTGTGACTCATTTAGGTAATCAGCAATTATCAAACTTTGTTTGTCGATTGGCAATGCTTTGTCTTTTTTTTTGGTTAAAATAATAATGGATTTAAATTGAGAGCATGGAAAGATTGTCATGTCTTTGTATTTGAGTTTCTTTGATGGAACATTTTGATTTTTGTAAGCACAATATTATATTCCTTTCTTGACTTATTTGGCAGTTACAGATGTTTTGTTTTCTTATAGATAGCTCTTTGGGATTTTTTCTTTAAACTTCTAGTTGGTTTGTAGCTTGCAGTCTCTGGTGTATGGGTCAGGTTTTGGTATGTGGGAGGGGGGCAGTTGTCTTTTTGAGACAGGGTCTTGCTGTGCAGTTCAGGCTGAACTTAGGCTCACTTTGTAGCCCAGGCTGGTCTCGAACTTGAAACGATCCTC